AGCCAAGTGAGGGCGGATTCTCTTGAACAGCAAAGAGGCTTCCTCTTCCATTATCTAGAAAACCGTTTTATTAGGTCCTCAGAAGGGTGAGGGTTATACAGTGGAGACAGCTGCTGGTTTCAAATACGCATTTAAAGAGGCAGGAGAGGAATTTATGGAAGTGATTATAAGCCATTGTTAAGCATGATGATTCATTGCCAGTTGCTGGAAAGCAACAGCGGAGGAAGGCCACACGAACTCTTATCCTGCATGTGTGCTTCCAAAAATGAACTTGATTGTGATGGAAAGCAACAGTGCTGGACTTTCAGATCCATCTTAAATTCCTCTCTAGTCAAGGGATCAATTTGATTAACTGGTATGCACATAAGTCGGGAGTATCCAGCTTTGGCGACTTTACGATTTGTGGACTTCAATTCCCAGAAGTTGGGAATTGAAGTCCACAAATTGTAAAGTTGCCAAGGTTGGACTTCTCTGCTTTAAATGCTTCAAACTTCTTAACAATACACATATACCAGGGGTGGGTTTCTCGCCCCGTTCCAACCGGTTCGGTTGGAACGGGGCCGGCGGCGTCCTCGTGCACGCGTGCGGTGCGCGCGTGCATGCGTGCAGCGCACGCATGCGTACTAGCGTCTGTGCGANTCTGCTACAGAGTGGCGTTTGGAAGATATCGGCCTGGCAGCTCTCCAAGACAGATAAAGGTCTGTAGTTGAAATCTCTTGAAAGACTGTTAACCGTGACTTTGCTGGAGAGGAAATCTCTTTAACCTAAATAAAAGAGCTTTTATTGGCACAAAGAGTCTGCTTCATACTCTTGGGAAGCCTAGGTCAGAACACTGCGCAGAAAGACATCTGCCTACAAATTTTATATTTGTATGCCACAATACGTACAAAGTGGTGGTGGGGGGAGACAGGCTGGGGCTACCACTGAGGCTACCGCTGCTCTGAGCTGTATTGTTGGATTATGACTTCCCCATCAGCGGAAGAGAAATGCAATAAATATCTCTTCCCTTTCAAAATTTAATGCAATCCGACAATGTTCAATTTGCACTGGATGCAGAAACATGGTTAAAACGCCATTCTACATTGTAGCAAATCCTTTTTGAGAATTGCTTGCGGTACATAATTGTACTTTCCACCTGATATTGGTCTGCTGCCATGTTTTTCAGAAAGCCCCATCAATCTTCTCTATTGTCTGGAGACTCAGATATAGAAGAAGAAACATGGGTTTAGAGTTTGCATTGATCCCTTTCTCAAATAGAAATTCCCTGGTCCTCCCCTGCCACTTTTCACTTAATGACCTATGTTCCTTGGGTTTGCGACAGCAACTGGGATCGTCTTGCTAAGAGACACAGTCATACAATTCTGGTCCCAGTTGCCATCGTAACCGGAGGACTATCTGTATTAGGTATGTTGGCTGCCTTGATAAATATATTAAATTAATAAATATATAAAAGCCAAATACCACTCACTCATCACAAAATCTCCAGAATTGTAAAGCCTACGAACTTGAAATTCGGCACGTATGTTCCTCTTGGCTTCTGGGTGCTTGCTAAGAAAGGATTTTTTGAAATGACCATCAGATCATCAGTATTTCTTATACAGTATTATGCTAACACGCTCGATGCTAAGGAGTTAGACGTTCTACTCTCCCTCCCCACCTGAAAGGAACTCTGTTCCAACTGCCAGTTGCCTTATATGGGCATGGCCAATGTGTGACTCATCCGGCCTGCAGGCTGGGAATTTAGACATTCTACTCCCCCTCCCCACATGAAAAGAACTCTGTTCCAACTGCCAGTNTGAGTGACATTGAGTTGGCCACGCCCACACAGTCACATGATCACCTAGCCATGCCTACCCAGCTGGTCATTAGGACAGAGAACTGATTGTTAAATTATTCAAATCCCACCACTGTATATATAACATAATGCCTTATGCTTCAGATCGAGGAAAACGTGTAATAACGGGATCTGGAGTAAATGAAATAAATAGAAAATGTCCACATTCTTTTTGGGGACTATCGTAAGCTGAGCCCTGATTCCCCAAATGGGTTAATGAAACCTCAAAGCGATTGATGGCCTCTAGCGATGTGATGGCTACGAAGTCTCAAGTTCACATTAAGTGACATTGGGAATAAAAAGAGTAAAGGTTTCCCCCGTCCAGTCGTACCTGACTCTAGGGGGCGTTGCTCATCTCCATTTCTTAGCTGAGGGAGCCAGCATTGTCCGAAGACAATTCCACGGTCATGTGGCCGGCATGACTATACGCCGAGGTGCACGGAACGCTGTTCACTTCCCACCAAAGTAGTACCTATTTATCTACTTACATTTGCATGTTTTCGAACTGCTAGGTTGACAGGAGCTGAGGTAGGAGCGGGAGCTCATCCCATTGCACGGCTCTCAGGTCTTGAACTTGGTCCGTCAGCTTTCTAGCTCAGCGTCTTCAACCGCTGAGCCATTGTAACCCTTGAGATTAAAAAATCATCCTTCAGCCTAATTTCCTTTATAGGATTGTTCTGAAAAGAAAACCGGAGGGATAAATGTCCTGTATTTCATTGGGAATTCCCGGAGAATAATGTGCATCTAAATAGACTTACGGTATTTTTTTGGAGTATAAGATGCAATTCCCCCCCCCAAAAAGAGGGTGAAACTTTGGGTGCGTCTTATACACCAAATGTAGTCCCACCCACCCGCTGGCACTGCCCCTTTGGCCTCTGCCTCCCAGCAATTTGCCTCCTTGCAGCAAGCAGCCTGTTTTAGTTTTAGCTTCACCACAACTTGTTTAGCACAAGCAGCTGATTGTCGTTTGGATCGGCCTCCCAACTATCAACTTTTTCAGGCTGCAGGGATTGCCATTGCCTATTGCTGCCTCTGCGCGCCCCAGTTTCCACCCATTCCACCTGGAACGGGCGGAAAATGTGGTGCGCAGAGGCTGAAAACAGGGCACGTGGAGACTGAAAACGGAGCGCACAGAGGCGGCAATAGGCTATGGCAATCCCTTCACCCTGAAACAGCTGATGGTCGGGAGGCCGATCCAAGCGACAATCAGCTGTTTGTGCTAATCAGGCTGTGCTGAAATTGACACTGAAACATGCTGTTTGCTGCAAGGAGGCAAATTGTTGGGAGGCAGATTTTTTTCCCTTGTGCTAATCAGGCTGAACTGAAACTGAAACAGGCTGTTTGCTGTTTGCTGCAAGGAGGCAAATTGCTGGGAGACAGATTTTTTTTTCTTGTTTTCCTCCCCGAAAGCTAGGTGCTTCTTATACTTCGGAGCGTCGTATACTCCGAAAAATACGGTAATTTTGGATTTGGTTCAGATATGATTGTTATAATTTGGCAACCCAGACTATCTCCATGTTTGCAATGCTCACTTCCTTCCTTTGCTTCCTGATACCCTGAGATAGCTGGTAAGCCAACAGCAATGGCTTCCAAATGAGCAAACTGAAATTTTTGTGTGTGGTTTTAAGCCCATTTCAAACTGAAGTTTCCAGTTCCAATTTTGAAATAAACGATGACAAATAGGAACGCAAAATATGCCTCATTTGGACAGGAAGGCCATTTTCTGGGCAAATTCCCAGAAACCAAAAGACGCAGAAGAGAAGAATACATGATCTTCGAACATATTTCTGACAGCGAA